CTTAGTGAAAACTGGGGAAAGCCTCTGGCAACAAATACTAGATAAAAAATTGTCAAAGTATTTAAAACCATTACGCTGTCAACAAGAGTGAAAATTCTGAATGTAAAAATCATGACTGCAAATACTGAAGGGCTGCAGGAGGTGAAGTACAAATAATATAGTGCTAAATTCCAAATAGCTAAAACAGAAGAAAATTCATCAACAACATACTAAAGGAACCTTACAAAACTTTATTAAATAATACAGATACAAATGATTATTATTTACATCCAAATTGTCAATTTTAAGTAGTACTAGCATGTAAGGCACAGCTTCTCCAAAACTAGCCCATAAGTTACACAAATCTCAATATAATAACATGTAACAATGTGATTTGTTTGTAATACTGCCTGAAACCAAAACTGTATACCGTAAATTGTGTCTGCATTCCATTCCTCTACCTGCCCGCATAGTTCTGCAAACAATACATTCTGCATGAAATATTTTGTTCTTTGAAATAGAACAATTGCGATCACTTTCATTATGGTCCTTAGGAGAGTTCAGACAGCCACAATATTATTCAGAATTAAAACTGTGAAACTTGTTATAGGTAAACAAAGCCGTTATCTGATAGCTGCAAAATACTGCTTACGGATGAAAAGTTACTATGATTATAATCCTCAAAATAAAGGATTTCAACTGAGATACTTTTTTTTTTTTTTCCTCAGGGAAGTACTTTAGGACTAAGAATTGGAACCAAGTTTTTCTTCTCCTCTGTTTAAAATTAATTTGGAAAAAAGTTCCAGCCAGCATAGCTCACTGCCAGCTTGTTTAGAAAGCAAAATACATCTGAGCACGCTGTGATCAACTGGTTTAGCTGAGCACTTTCTGATGTACCCGGAATTGTGCATTTTATATCTGTGTGTCTTAGCCAGTCAAGAAGAAAACCAAAAAGGCAACCCAAAAAACCCCACATTAATAGTTCCGCAATTAAGTGCTACGCTGTATTTTCCAGACTTACAAATGAGTGCTTATTAGTTGGATATTATGGTACAAATATTCCAAAGTCTGGTCATACCAGTAACATCTTACTGTACAGTTAAGTGCATGTTCTGGCTCTGGCTGTATCAGAGACAAGCAGACTGAACCAGCTCTAAGTGTGAAATAAGCCGCTTACTTTCCAGTGCACAGGGTGACTTTTGGTAATAAAAGGAGGCTCAGTTTCTATTGAGGTACTTCTATATCTGAAATGACCTACATAAATGTATTATATTTATGTCAGAACACAGGTAAGATAAATTGCCTTCAAAGAAAAATATTTACTACCAGAAGAAAGGTCCTCTTAGAAGGCACATGCTTTCACATTCCCAGTCCAGAAAAAGTGCTTACAGTAACAAGAAAGGAATACTGCAGTTGTACCCAAAGGAAGCCACACTAAGAGAGTTATGCTTTTCTTTGTTGTTGTTGTCGTAAAAAACCCTCCAAATTATTCACAGTTGTTCCAGCATTCCTAATGTTAAAACAGCAAATTATGGTGATGCATCACATTGTAAGGCTAAACGTAAGAACACTTATCAGTGCAGTACATTCCTGAGTCTTTGGAACTCAAAATAAAAAACTAGTTCTTTGAAATATACAATCCTTCATATTTTTGGCTCATATTTGACCTGTTTTTCTATTTCCCTTTTTTAAAAAGTTCATTAAAAAGAAAGTTAATTTTTGCAAAAACTAAATATAATTTTTTATCACTATCACTTAGACATAACTTCCAGTTGATTGAAGAGTGCAAGAAAGTAGTTAGCTTAGCATAAACACTGCTTTTTGTCCAGCCATCCTTGTCAACGGAGCATAAAACGGCAGATAAAATAAATTTTAGAGAACTGAAGCAATGACATAAAAAAAAAAAATTCAAAGAGCTCTAAATAAAAAAAAAAATTATGAAGCTAGTTACATTCAAGAGATGACTTGAATTATATTGAAACTGGGAAAGTTCTTAAATTTGCTATTGTTAAAGGCACCGATTTTTTTTTATTATTATTTTCCAGCCCTAGTGCATGAAGAGGAGTCCTGCTGTCTCTAACGTGAACCATAGTCAGTGCTCCAGAGCGTGGATGATGGGCTTGTTTTCCTGCTTGACGACTGAGGACTGAAGGAAAGCCCAGGTGATACAGAGAAACCTAAAACACATGGGAAGAGGAGAAAAAACCCCCAATCATACTTGGGAATGGTAGAAGTAGTAAGAAACAAATAACTGCTGTTGATCATCTGCTGGAACACCTGGCAAGCAAGTCTAATGATCCATTCAAAGGGAAATAACTCCTTTAGTTTATTGCCTGTTGAAAAGACATCGTCTAAGTATCAAAATTTTGTAGATGTTCCTATTAAGGACTTTAATTAAAGAATTGATTTAAGTCTTCTGAGGGTGGCACAACACATTTCATCTCAGCAAGTAACTTTCAGTTTGAATTTGCCTTATGTTATCTGAAGTGTCAAGTATGTGTTTTTACAAACAGGACCACAGCTCACCATAATTTAAATACATCTATAAAAACGTGAATTTTGTTTTACTAGCCACTGTTGGTTGCAGACCTTCCAAGTGAATGAGTATTTTTTGCATATTTCTGAAAGAGTTTGATTCTGCAACAATACAAATAGGTAAAATAGGGAATAAATACGATGTCAAAAAATATAATACGTGACTGCAAGATCAAAGCAGTGAAGGAACAAACTGTTCACTGAGCAACAGAACAAAGTCTTCCATAGACTTGTGTCCTTTGTGCCACAACATTTCCCCTTCCCTGTCCTTACAACAGCCCCAGCTGACAGTACTTTGCAGCACGCAGGATGCAGCACACGCTGTGGCTAATCTGATGTCGCATGAACACGTTGTATCAGCAGCTGAGCTCTGCTTTACTTTCCCTCAGTAGCAGAAAAATTGTGCATCTCTCCCCCCTACCCAACTGGTGATTTGCATCAATTCTTACACTTCTAACCCATTCCCAACTTCCAATGTGGCTGAAGCTGGCCAAGGGTTTCAAAAGAATTAGCAACGGGTAAAGGGAAGGTTGGGGAGTGGGGGAACAGATTTCCTAGGAACTGGCACAGTGCTTGTTGTAACATAATCCAGTACACAGGCTCTCTCATAGTCGTATCTCCCCACATTCAATTCCAATGCAATAGCTGGACTAAGCAATTAATTCACTTATAACTGGGTAACAGCTGCTTACTGTTATGGCTGTGTTGAGGAGTTGTCCTTGGGGTAAACGCTGGGTGACTGTGCTGCTCTTTCGGTGAGAAAACTGCATGATAGGCTGCAAGACATTGTAAAAAAAACCACACAAACACACACAACAAAACAACAAAATAATTTCACCCGGTAATTATTCCTGTATATCTTACAGCTAATCCATTGTAAGAAAAAATTATGCAAAAAAACCCCCAACTTCTGCAATTTTTCATTCTCTTACCTATAATCATAACAGCTGTCCCTGCTAATAGTGCAAAAAGTGTGAAGAACATGACTTGATAAGAATCAAGAAAGTGCTGGAATAGACTGGCTCCATCTGTAGAATCGATTAAGAGGAGACAATATTAAGTTAAAAGAGCATCTTCTCCAATCTGCTTTAAGAGTTAACAGTTCTTAACTCAAACTGAAATAGCCAAAAGGAGGTTTTTATTTATAGCAAATAAGTGTAATCAACTTAGATAGTATGATTTTGATTCTAGTGACTATTTCCAATGTAGTCTTCAAAATCTACCAATAACAGCTTAAGACATTGATATACGACGTCTTAAGCATGTTCTTTACTTTCTCAGCCCCCAAATGCTAATCTGTTTTCAAAATAACAAGGCATGCTTGAGAGTAAAAAAAAGCGGAGCCAAACCATTGATTTTCAGATACTTTAGCATTGGGATATTTATGCCAACTTCAACAGAGTATTTTGGGCTTACCCAAAAGGAAAGTATGTTCAGCTTCAGTCACGATGAGTAATTGTATTCAAGTCAATGATAATGTTAGCTGCCAGCTCAGATTTTAACACACCAAATTTTTTAACCTCATGAACATTAATGGAATTTAGAGGTTTATTCTGGTATACGACGTCTACAGGTAAACTTACGTCTCATCGGTGCACTGGTTCTGTCAGTCAAGTAAATCACCGTCACTGGGATAGTGATAGACTGGTCAGTCATAGGACTAGAGATGGTTAGAGTGGTTGATAAGGATCCCTGGCTTGAAACTCTTGGATCAGACAGACTAACGGTGTAGACTACATAACTAGGCAGCCCGTAGGATTTCTCTTTCTCAAATGCCTTCACTGTTGGTGACCCACATTTCACCTGCCGAGGGAAAAAACCCAACCTGAAACAGGCCGTTTGAGAAAGCACAGCACATTCCTCATCTTCCAGGCCACACATCAGAACTACGTTATTCCACAGAAAGACAGAGCAACTCTCGCCAAAGCAGGGGTCAGACTTGGCTGTAACTTCACGGTGACACCTGCAGCACTTCACTCATTTACTGCTAAGGTTGCCCTATTTACTGCTGTTTCTGTGGGCCTGGGCTAACCCCACACAGGCAAAAATCAAAGCAGTCCTTACTGGGCTATGTGAACCACGGGCGATCAAGCAAGTAAGTGGGTGAGAACCTACCCCTGCTGCTAGAGATCAGGCAGAATTTCTGCTTCCCCACCTGCGAGCTGTTTAAGACATTTCAGCAATGCACAGGTGAGCCTGACACATTTCTACTACCCCAAAAGAAAAGTGAAAACCGAGGAGGAATACATTCCAAGATGACTATTTCCAAATCATCTCGGGAACAATGTTGATGTGGTAAAGGCGGCACAGAGTGCCTTTGGTTAGAAAGCTGTGTGTAACAGTTCAAAATGCTTTCAACTGCCTTGTGGTACTTTCCAGCAACACACTCACCTCCAGGGTATCAAGAATTTCAGTGGCACCAAATATTTTCACATCAGAGCTTGTGTAATGATTACTTAAAAGCATTTCCGTTTGGTCAGCGTAGAACCCAGGATTGAACGGCACCTCGGTGCTGATCTGCTCCCCAGAGAAGTGGCTGCCTTGGATTGAAGCTGTAACTCTGAGTGCAGTTTTACTCATGCTGAGATGCTTCAGCTGCTTGTCAGTGAGCCTGTGCATTGTGATAGAACAGGTGTAATGCCCTATAGAAATAGAAGCAGTTTGACTGTTAATTGCTCATCTTTATGGGTTTTTTTCTCCATGCAGAGCGAGATTTCTGTGACATCTTTAGAGAAGAGCTGAAAAAGGTGGTAAAATTCAACCAAACAGCAGGATCAGGAGTGCATAGGTGAACAGGTCAATGTGTCTCCTGGTCCAAGCATCGCAATCCCAGTACTAAACCAACAGAAGTTACTTCTTGTCCCAAACTAAATATCATGATAAAAACACTAAAATGGCAGTTTCCAGTCACATTTTGTTTTAATACGTCAGTGAGACTCAATTCCACTTTGAATATAACATTTATGCTAATATCGATAAAAAGGCTTTACTGAAAATAAAATTTAACATCCTGTTTCATATTCTCTTCACCTAATGTTACAATTTTAGTCAGTTACCATCACCAATTCTGTGGAGACATGGTTTATTATTTATAAAAGTTTCTTAAAGGTTAGATACTGACCATGTTTCTAGTCTCTTGTGGGACCTATTTGTCTATTATTAGCAATAAAGATACTAAAAAAAATTCCCCCCGTATGGAAGATAGAAAGCATAAGTAACAAGCAGAACTTGCTAGGTACATGTTTTCCCCTTATTTTCTAAAAAAAATTAACAGAGGTAGCCACTATTATGCAAGGTATAATAGTGTTTTATACAATGGGTACAGGGACTAATCGAGCAGATAATTAATGTTATTTCCATGCAGTCCATGGTATTTTGGTTCTTTTTAAAGTCATGTTAGTAGTAGAGTTTCACAATTTTATTTCCATTTCCACAGTACCTGGTAATTTCCCCTCCCTGCAAGTCCCAATACATATTGTTTTGGCGATACATAAGAATTCTACCTTTCATAAGAAATTACAGCACTCGGGTTGTGCAGGTAAGTTAGAAAGCATGATAAATTCCAGAAATGTTTAAGTTGCAGAATACAAAGAATTCAAAATGTATTACATTCACCAAATTTTCACATTTACAGTATTTCCCCCATTTTAATCGGAGGTTAGTTATACTGCAACAACTACAGTGGCAGGGCTTTTAAAAGGCCAGCATCAAACACAAAGAATATTTGACTGTAGAGAATAATTTGGTGAAATCTAGAGATCCTCGGTAGACACACATTAAAACTCACAATTGCTTCTCTTATCCCTAGTCTTAACTTTCACTGCATTTAGGTATACAGTAAAAAGGCACTGACATACAGCAAGAAAACACCTAAAAGAGCCACGAGATGTTTACAGCTGCAGAGACAACCCAAGTTTGGAGTATTTGTCAGCTGAGTGCTCAATTTGTACCAGCTGAAGGAGGAAGTGTTTTGCTTCCGTAGTTTAACAAATACAGGGCCTGATATTCTTTTCCGAATTGTTCTATACAAGGCAATCTAGTTTTTGTACAGTTCAGCTGGCAGCTGCTAGCTCTGTAAAGTACGTGACCCCAGGGTATTAACGTCTACATTCTGCATTACTGTCACTTCAGTCTCAAGGTACCATCAGACTGCCTACATACCTACAAATGAACGAGTAGTAATGTGCAAAATTAGAACCTAAGTCTGTAGTCAGAAAATGTATCAAAGTTTGTTCCCCTCCCGCCAATTAAAATAACGCAGCAGAATGCAAAATGTCTGCCAGGAGTGTGGCATCTTGTCTCGCCTTACCCGAAACTGCATCAAATCCAGGTTCTGCTATAAAAATATCACGTGCGGGGAAGTCAAATGCATCATTGTTAAAATCTAGATGGCAATTGATAATGGACTGCGGTTGTAATTCAGCAATGGCTTCAATCTGAGCAGGCGAGCACTCCCCTAGGGGAAGGAAAAAATTAATCTCTAATTAATTGATTAGAAAAGAATTATAACTAATTAATTTTTAATTAATTGAAAGCAAAACCATGGCTTGAAATATCAGGTTATTCTGCCACCTTCTGAAATCGTTTAAAATAGCTGGAAATCATAGACAGCTGTCCTATCTCAGGTCTAATCCCAAAGAGACAGCAAATGAAAGTTTTGCATGTTATGGGTTTTCTTCCACAGAAATAATTTATTTAGAGGAAACAATGAACTAGGGAGAATTTTCAGCTCAGATGTGTCTGTTGAATAACTTAGATGAGATCCTGGGAGTCTCAATTTGTATTTTAGTATCTGGCAAGATGGTTTTTTGGTAAGCTGATTTACATAAGGCACAATAACATACTATTTGAACAAGTGCTAAGTGTTAAGATAAAAACTAAAAGGAACTATAATCAAACAAAATACAGCTTATTAAATACAGGACACAATATGATGCTTAATCTTTGTATTGATTTGTAAAAAATTTAAGGATGGTAAGTACTTCAAACATGCTCAGTAAGAAAAAATAGTAACTTCAAGAGGGCAATTGGAATTAAACATGTAAGCAAACAATTAGCTGATTGCCTATTAACTGGTTTTTGATACGATCAAAAATGACACTTCTATTATCTACCAATTTTATTAGTTGTGAAATCTTAATAGTGTCCCACAACACTCTCCAAATTCTGTAACGGCCCTAAAAGTCTTCTAGAGCTCCGGGGATTCTGGAAAGGCACTAGAGGTTCATAGAGATCTTGCTACACCAACTTCACAAACCCTTCAAAACAAACAAAAAACCCAAAACACAAACCAAAACCACCTATCATGAATATTCAAATATGCAATAAACAATTCACAAAGAATTTTTTTCATCATACCTTTCAAATTTGTATTTCTTTCCCCAATTGAAACTATTACTTTTGAGGCTGCAACTCCTTGTAAGCTTGTTTTCACTCCACTTCCATGCATTGCTGTAGTCCTCTGAGGTATATTAATGAGTATCTGAAAAAAGATGAAGCACATTGTTACCAAAAACTTTTTTAACAAATAAAAATTAAGGCAAAACCAGATTGGATTGATTGTAAAATGCAGACATTCTTGTATGTGTAACAGAAGAGAAGACTCCAAGAGGTCGTTTTTCTCTCTTGAAGAAATCCTACATTTGTCTAATTTTAGAAACTGCCTTTCAAGGCCATTTAAGCTAGTAAAAACCTTTTTTTCTTTCTACCCAACCCCCCATACGTTAATAGGCATAAAGCCCTATGTTTAAATTTAATTTAAAAAGAACGTCTAATGCTTATGTTAGCTGATACAGTGAGTTGTGTCAACAGTACGACTGCACTGTAGATAAACAAAATAATTTGAGTAATTGTGATCAGTGACGCATAGTAATATGGTGCAACACTTTAGAAAGTTCTTGTTGGCATCTCATACTGCACTGAGCCTTCATTCATAAAAGCAGCCATACTCAAAAAATTGTTTAGCATCTGGAAACAACTTAGCCAAGCAAAGGAATCAAAATGCACAATATAAGAACAGTATAGGCTAAAAATTACGCTAAATTATCCACCTTAACACAGATGATTAGGCACATACCAAAATACTTTCCAACCAGTTGCATTTCTAATACTTTTTCCCGTAAAAAGAATTTATAACAAAAAAAAAAAAAATCATAGAGTACATTCCTGAAGCAAATAAGCTTCAGCAGTTCTAATAGGATTTAACAGTGCCTCACCTCTCTGTACGTTTTAAGTAATCCAGGAATCTCGTAATAGACAGCGACAACGCCAGAATCCCTCGCCACTGCTGCGCCAGTCTTGGAGTCGACCTGAAGAACGCGGCTTAAGGAGGAGCTCCACACGCCTGGCAGGCCTGAGAAGACACACCATTTGGACACTGTTCAACAGATTTATGCTAACCAAAGCATCTCATTATCACATTGGTGTCTGTCTATAGGTACCCACTGCACAGGCAGCACGGTTTTACTTAGCACACAGTTTCCCGATTCTAGGGTCACCTGTGGCGGAAGGCTGGTAGCAAAACACCACACTGACTTGCAGTTACTCTGACAAAAGCCCATTCATACTAAGAATCAAATACAGCGAGTGAAGTTCAACGGTCCTGACTCTGCACGATTCCCATAAAAACCAAGCCTTTCAAGCTATCAGAATGGAAATGCCTGCAGTCTGATACTCACGAATTCAATATAAGCAACATATTGCACGGTACAATTAAAGTTAGAGGAGTTGATCAAACCTGTTTTTATCATTAACAAGAACAGTGACATTTGATTCTGAACAAACGTCATAAATTATGCATTTAGCTTTCCTGAGAATGAGAAAGAGTCACACTGATGTCAAATTATATAGCTGCAAAAACACAGCGACTGAAGTGCCGCTTACCTTCTTGGTTTATCAGCGATGTACTCAAACAGAGGACATCACCTACCACCACATCTACGAGTTCAGGAAAAATGGCATGCTGCACAGGGAGAGGGACGTAGTCTGCAATTCCACTGTGTTCCATATCCCAAACTTTAAGCAAGGTCAAACCTACATTTACAGTCCGGATTACAAATGTGTTGTTTGTGGCTCCTTTCCCAATCTGAACAAAGTCATCTCTACAGATAAAAAGAAATGCTTTTATATTAAGGCAAGTTTGCTAATGTCATTATCTCTACAATACTTAGTAGGTATTGAACTCTTTTTACATGGCTGACTTCTTGTTCTCAGCAATGGTTATCTTCTAATGAAGTCTAACGAAATAAGGAAAGTGAAGTGATTTAGGTGCTACTGAGGCAAATTTCAATTCTCACATTATTATGCTGAGGTCATAATTATGTATGAGAATTACTTCCTGAACTGTAGAACTTTAGAATGAGGTAATCTGTCTCTTTTCCCTTTTCTCAGCGAGTTAAGCAGCAAAGAAATTGAAACACCGATATGCAGCTTTCCGGTCATAACTTTACAAAGCTAAATCACATCTGATTCCAAGTTTTCCTATTACCAAAAAGCAGGATTCCCAAATGCACAGACACAGGGAGCACTAAGCACACCCAGCACAGAGACAACCACCCTAGCAGCACCATGCAGAGATAGTTACAGCCTTGACAGCAGTAGAGCTGGGTCACCACAGTGCTGCACCTGAGGTTAATGAGCAGCGCTTCTCTTGCGGGCTAATAATTAGCCCTATGCTGAAGCAGCTCTGTCACATCTGGTTCGGAAGCTAGGGCAGGGTTACCTCAGGGACCTCAGTATGCTACAGAAATTTCTGCTGATCATCTAGGTAGGAGAAAGGGAAAAATCTTGCATTCAACCTCTTTTTTTTCTCCTTTTAATCATGATCATTGTGTTACAACTGCAAGGTGCTCTGCAGAAAACAAGCTATGTTACACAGTGGAATTAGCGAGTGTTTACTAATGACCAAAGAAGGCTGGTTTATAGTATTTACTATTCTTTGAGGCCGAGACCAAAAGGCCTTTTGAGGCCTGGCTCTGCTGTGCAAAGGCTGTACGAGCATATCTGAAGAGACAGCCCCTGATCCAGAACGTTCACCACCTTACATAAGACTTAAGTGAGTCAGTGCAACAAAGCACTAGCAGAAAAGAGGCAAGATCAGGCAAATGCTAATAAGATCAATTGTTTATATAGGCCACTGATGTATGCACTCCGATGATTCCGAGTCACTTAAAGCCGAAATGCACCCCAGCAGGCCCCGCAAGGGATCACGCTTATCTGGGCAACTTTCCATTTGCTAGAGAATATCGATTGCAAACTGGAACTCCTTTCTGCTATGGTGACTCTGAAGACCTCAGAGACAAAATCCCTTCCTTGCTAATCCCAGCACAAGCTATATCTTCACTTGATATCTTCGGAACAATCTTTGTGCCTTTCTGCGGCTAGGCTATGTGTGTTTGGCCTTTTTTGTTCTCTGTAATTAACCCCCATGATAGATACCTACCTGTTTGTTGCAAAGTTGAGCAGAGAATTATGCGAATGAAAAGTATCTCCAGCGTTATCGTGAAAATGGACTGTAAACGTCAGTGTCACACCCAGGGGAAGAGCCAGTAATGCCTCTTTGTTTTGTGTGTGCAGAATAGGACTCATGGAGATTCTTAGGTATGAGATGGGGCAGACCTGTAAAAACATCAGCAGTGAAAAGCAAAATCAAATTGCTTCTTTTGGTGCCTCTATAAAAATAGTAATCTAAAAGGGTTCTTATTATGCAAATATACAAAGCTTCCTTTATGATCCACTGGCTATATCTTTAGCCATATGACAGTACTGAGACATGGTGCTTTTGTTATTGGCACATATATTTCATAGAATCACAGAAGAATAGTTGAGGTTGAAGGAGCTTCTGGAGATCACCTAGCCCAGATCGAGCCAGGTGCCCAGGATAAAGTGCAGTCAGGTCTTGAGCATCTCCTAGGATGGAGACGCCACAATCTGTGCAATCTGTGCCTGTGTTTAGCAGCCACCACAGTAAAAAAGTGCTGTCCTATATGCAGACAGAATTTCATGTGTTTCAATTCATGTGCGTTCCTCCTGGCCTGTCATTGAGCACCGCTGGGAAGAGCCTGGCTCTGTCTTCCTTACACCCTCCCATCAGATATTTCTTAGCAGTATTGCCTAATAGCACTGGGAATTGAAGCAAGCAAGAATGATGCAGAAACATGTATCACAGACTTCAGAAACTACATTATTATCCCATAAATTAAAACTGTTTAAGACTCCATGGATATGCAAGAGAACAAGTTACCACTAGACTTCTCTCCCAGTAATTCTCAAAATAAAGTGTAATTCATTCCCCAGTTACTGGAACAGGAGTAACTTGTAATGTATGTGAGAGTAGGAGGATGAAATGGTCACTGTTTCCTCAGTTCCCTTGCCCCAGGTGAGAAAGCCAAGATGATACAGGCAGTTTTTAATAGCCTTGTCTCTGTTTGAGTGAAGCTTTGCCCAGCAGAGGAAACATGAGCAATAGCTGCAAAGCTGTTTCCTGGCAATCCTTGTCAAACAACATCACAGACACTACAAACCGCTGCCCCTCAAACAGGCCCGCAGTGGTCCCAACAACAGGGCTCCCACCATCTTTCCTCGAGTTGTGTGCTGGGGTGGCTTTTCTGCCCCATCACTGGGCATGCTTGTCTCGGTACTGCTGGCTCCTCCGAGGCATGGGCTGAAAGAACTCAAGTGCAACAGACAAAGGCAGCCGGAACCAACATCTGAAATCCTGACTGGTGAGCCAGCTGCATTTTGCTGCCTCAATGCCTCGCCTCAGCCAGACAGAAGTTAGGGACTTCCGCTCCCAATTCTTTAGAAAAGTCTGCTAGATTATCTATATGTGCGCTACCCCCCCCCCCCCACTGAACAGTGCTAAAATATGGCACTTCTCCTTGTGCGCCCCCCCCCCCCCCCCCCCCGCCATTTTTGCAGTAAGACTCCAATGAAGGAAGTTTGTCTGAAGACAAAAACTTCACAACCAGTTTTGTTTTTTAAATAACGTAATACTATTCTGTATTAACTTATCTAGGTTAACTAGCAAAATTGCTCAACAAAAAGAACTATATCTGTTCTTGCTGTTATAGCTGTTGGAAAATATATAAGGGAAGGATAGAAAAAGCAAAAACCCTTAAATATATAGAGAAAACTATTTCAAAAGAAGCCCTCAAGCTTATCTTGTAGAAAAATCCCTATTTTCTGACCTAAGAGGTTCATCTCAGTTTTACACTCTGCAATCTGAAAATGTACATGTCAAAACTTAAAAAGGAAAGGACAAATTTGGCCTGAAGCAAATACCATCTTTGGTTGAGTCGGGGGGGGGGG